TGCTGCTGCTTGAACCCAGCCACCACATTATCAGGAAGCACAAACACCTACGCCCACTCTCAGGTGGAAGGAAGCTCCGCCCTCTGCCAACAGCTCTACCTGAGTTCTCAGCTGGCACCCAGCACCAACTGCCAGCCACACATGTGAGGCAGTCTTGGACCTTCCAGCCAACTCACTGTCCACAGACCATCACATGAAGTAGAGCTGTCTGCCCAGTGCACAGACATGAATTGTTGTTGTTTTAAGCAGGAGGCATGCCCTTTAAATGAAGCATTTATTGTTGGAGTAGAACCTCAAACCTAATGCATATCAAGTTAGCCCTCCATTCATCTATTCCTTTATTTGTCCAAATGAGAATTACTGAACAGCTGTTCTGCTAGGTGCACAAAGATCAAATGCAGACATATCTCGCATTATGGAACTCAGTGCCTGGACAGGGAAATAGACAGTAACAGAACATCATATTTTGAATCTTAATGGTTGTTGTGCTATTGAAACAGGACATTAGGCCCTGGCTCTGGAAGCCTCAGGATAGGGAACTGGCCTCCTCAGAGAGGTTAAAAAAGGAAGTGAGTACTAAACTCATAAATGCAAAGGAAGGTTCAAAGCCACATAGGTAGAGAGGATAGCAAGAGTCCTTCACATAAATGGCCCAGCATATGCAAAGCCTGTGTGGCAGGAGGAAAAGTAATATACTCAAACTCTGTATCTAGATCTACATCATGGCTCAAGATAAGGCTGGGACCCGGCACCAGTGGCTCACACCTGTAATCCTAGCTACTCAGGAGGCTGAGATCTGAGGATCACGGTTCAAAGTCAGCCCAGGCAGGAAAGGCCGTGAAACTCTTATCTCCAATAAACAACAAGAAAACCGGAAGTAGCGCCATGGCTCAAGAGGTAGAGTACTAACCTTGAGCTGAAGAGCACAGGGACAGCACCCAGGCCCAGAGTTCAAGCCCCACGACCGACAAAAACAAAAACAGATAAGCAGGTAGGAGTCAGGCCTGTAAGACTCTTGCAATCATCCTAAGAGTGGACCTAACAAGAAGAGGTGAACAAACTAATTTCATTCTGAGCAGATTTTTCTCTTCTATTCCCAATGTGAAGAGGAATAACAGATTACTTTGCACAAACTGTATATGCAGTGACACCCATGGGTATTCAGCACTCAATGAGGAAGGTCCTTATTACATTTCACTGTATTATTTGCATACACCTCTGTTTCTCAAACCAGACTACACAATCTTTTCAGCACAAAAGCTGTACCTCAATTATCTTTTCATTTTTTTCCCCCTCACAATAGCTAACACAGTGCTGGACCCACAGCAAAGACCACTAAAGTGCTACCTAGAAATGGAAAACACATATAAATAATCCGTTCATACTAGCCTGTAGAATGCAATATCCTGGGAGAAAATTCTATGGCCACACTTGGAAAGCCTTTGCAATGATAGCAATATTTTTAAGGAAACCTTGCTGTAAAAATATCATTGTCTTATTTTAGACACTCTTGAACGTCATCCTCAATGAAGAGCAAAAACGGTACATCACCTTTCCATAAAGTGGCTGGCTTTGTATACACTTTGAAGATCATTTCTGGGTCACTCATATATTTCTCTCCTTTCAGTGACAAAAATATTTAATCTTCTCACCTTTCCTCAAAGAAGCCCTCTAGCTGCTCCCTGGATTTATTCCAAAACCTTCTAAATTGTGGAGGCCAGCAATCCAATAGACCAGGAAGCAAGGTAAAAGATGGCTGTAGGACTTTGTGAGCAGTCCTTAATGTGGCAGCAGGCTCTCTTTCCTTTGTCTTCGTTTTGAAGCTAATTCCATGTGTGCATATGTGTATGTGTGTATATGTGTATGTGTATTCACACATACACATAAATACCAATAATGACACTCTTCAAAGAACAAAGAAAGTTTCATTAAGTTTGCAAATGCCCTATCCTTCACCCTAGTCTTCACTAATACATCACATTGCTTTTTTAAAAAATTTTAGTGAAAGCTTTTCCCCCATATATGTTAATAATGTAAGCAAGAAAATAAGCAGCAGATTTTATTGGTGTTATAATTTGGATATGAAATGTCCCCCAAAGACTCATCTATGTTGAAAGCTAAGTGTTCAGAGGTGTTAGGTGTTAATCCAATCACACATGAGGTTGGCCTTAAAGGACATATCTTGTCCAGTGTTCTCTTTCTCCTCCTCCTGCTCCCTCCGCTCTTGCTTTTCTTCAGCTGACTGGAAGAGAGCAAGACCACAAAAACAAAGCCAAGTGACCATGGTCTGATACCTGTGAAATGAGCCAAACTCCACCTTTGTGTTCTTTTGAGTTAATTTTCTCCAATACTTATCATAGGGACAGAAATCTAACAACACAATTAACATCTCCAGAATCTTCTTCCTGTACACAGGCACCAAACAGATAGAAATATCACCAAGAAACCCCATCACTAGCTCCACAATATCAAGCACTCTGATATCAATAAATCGCTGACCATTTTAGAAAAACACAGCTTTACTAACTTAAACAATATTGTTCTTTTTTTACAAAAAGGTTTTGGCATTTGGGTAAAAACTGTTCAATTTCATTGCAAAGATACTTTTAAGTCGCATGTGTGATCTTCTCGTTTCATCAAAGAAATATAAATATTTTGATTTGTTTTGAAATCCTTATAGAAGTCTTTATGACACTACTTAAATTCTATCCTGTGTAGGGTACTCACAAACAAAAGAGCTCAAAAACAAGGGTATTCTTTTTTTGCACCAAACTAGAAAGATTATGTATAATAGTACTATAATGAACTCCTGAATTTATACCAATTTTTTGTATCAGTGAATCCCAGTGTCAGAAAATTTTATGGACTATATTTATTCAAGACTTTATCCAAATAACTCTCTAGATAACTTTTACAATACTTGTGTGTGTGCACACATGTGTGTGTGTCCATATCAAGGCTTGACCTAGGGCCTCATGCTCTTATTATTGTGCTTTCTAGCTCAAAACTGGCACCTTACCACTTGAAACATGCCTCCACTTCCAGCCTTTTGCTGGTTAAATGGAGATAAGAGTCTCACATGGGGCTGGGAAGGTGGCTCAGTGGTAGAGTGCTTGCCTTGCATGCCTGAGGCCCTGGGTTCGATTCCTTAGCACCACATAAGCAAAAAGAAAAAAAAGCCGGAAGTGGCGCTGTGGCTCAAGTGCTAGAGTGTTAGCCTTGAGCTGAAGAGCTGAGGGACAGGCCCAGGCCCAGAGTTCAGGCCCCACGGCCGGACCCCCTCCCCCCCGCAAAAAAAAAGAGTCTCACAGACTTTTCTACCTAGGCTGGTTTCGAATCTTGACCTTCAGCTCTAGAATTACAGGCATGAGCCACCTGCACTCAATTTACTTTTTACATTTAAAGCCAGCACACTTGACAAGAGTTTACACATATATTATTCAATCATTTACTGGCACAAATAAAGGAAATGCAAATATTAGAAAGAATATTATTTGTGCTCTGAAGACTAAAGCATTAGGTTAGTGCTGGTGGAGATAATCTCCAAAGCTTTAGTCAAACAGCTCAGAGAACACACTGCTATATAATTAGTATTTCCAAGAATTTGCAAAAAGAAAACACTACCCAAAATAGGCATCCACAAAATAAACATTTGCAAGATGGTAAACTTTGAACGATGAACGATGGCTTTACCTTAACTAAACATACATAATCTAAGTGCAGCAAAGAAAGTAGAATACTTTTAGAATAAATCCAGCGTCCAAAATGCATTTAAGTGGCGTACATGCTCACTGAATTAAAGAACACTCTTAACAATTCCTGTGTGTACACAAAGTAAAATTGTGCACAGTAAGCATTATGCAAATAGGCTTTATAGACTATTGAGGAGAGGTGTGTGTCCCATTGTGAGTCCGGAGCCCATTCTGCACTCAAAATCTGTTTAAACGGCTGATCGTCACAAAAGGAACAGCAGCACCCCTGCCACTCACAGGTTGGAAACCCATTACGCGATGTTCTGAGCAACCTACAGAGAAAAGTACTCCTCAAGGTCACTCCAGCAGTCCACGGCAGAACCTGGTACAAAAAGCTTCCCGCTGCACCACCACAATCTTCCCAAGTCACCCAGAACGCGCACACCCAACAGTTTCTGCTCCAAACAGAACCGCAGCAGGTGACCCACGCGCGCGTGATCGCCCTGACGCCCGCAGCTGGGGGGCTAGTTTCCCCCGGAGCACGCGGGCAGGAGGAAAAGGAAGGACCCGATTCCCGGTGCCAGGGTGAAAAGCATCTGAGCATCGCCGGCGATGCTCGGGCCGTTGCCACCCGCACCAGGCAGCAAGAAGTCCCGAGTGTATTCGCCGAATTATGGTAAAGTTAGGGGAGCCCTCCAACGGCGTGATTCCTTCAGAACGCCAAGAGGTAGAGCGCCCGACACCCAGCGCTTCACCCCAGCTTTCACCCAGACCGGGCGTCCTCCAAATCCGCGCTCAATCTGCGCCCTAAGCAGGGGGGAACCAACCACAGAAGCGCTCCCGAAGTGAGCGCAAACTTTCAGCTCTCAGCGCCTTCCTTTTGCCCAGAGCTTGGAGATCTCTCCCCAGCCCCAGACCACGAGGCGGGGCGCCGGGGAGCGTGTTCCAAAACGGGGACACATACCCGGAGCCCCGGATCCAACCAGGTCTCCAGCCTCCTCGAAATCAGGTTACACACACCATTTCAGGACGCTTCTCCACGCGCGCAAGGTACGGCCGGGGAAACGCCGCCACATTCGGGGTCCCCGCCGACCGGTATCCACAAAACACAAACTTCCCGGAGCGGTGCGGAGACACCGGGACCGCAACATCAGGAGTCCGGGCCACCGGGACCGGCACGGGGGGTGGCGGAGTGGGGGTGCGGGGGGAAGACTGGGATGACTGGGACGACCCCGGACCCGAAATCTTGGGGCGCCCCAGACGTGCGCGCGGGGACGGGGGCGCGCTCGGCCCCCTCCCGCCTCCTACCTGTCTGAGAATGAAACTGGTGGAAGTGGTGCTGCCATCGGATCTCTTCAACCTGCTCCTCCGGGTCGTGGTGCCGCGGGCCACCTGCACGCGACACACGGGGCCAGAGAGAGAAGGCAGTGAGGACCGCAGCGGGGAGCCGCGCGGCCGCCCCGGGGCGCGCGACCCCCGGGGTGGGGGGGGGAGACCGCTCCCCGGAGAGGGAAGGGAGGTTCCCCCTCCAGCCCGCACCCGCGTCTCCCGGAGTCTCCCAAACGCAACGCCCACCCCCACCCTCGCCCCCCCACCCCCGCCCACCCACTCTAAGCCTCGACGGCCGAAAAGATTCCCGAGCAAGAGCGGGCCCGCCGCCAGCACCCACCACATCCATTAACAAAGACTGTCGGGGTGCGGGGTCCGAGTCCCCGGCATCGGCTGGGGGAAGCTGCGGGCTCGGGAGCCGGAGCGCAGCGGCCCGGGAGAGGAGGGGCGGGAGGCGCCGAGCCGAGGAGGGTGGGGGAGCCGGGCCGCCGACTCCCGGACTGGGGGCGCCCGGCGCTCCCCGCACAAAGGCGGGGCGCTGGGACGGCGGGGGCGGGGGGAGGAAGAGAGGGCGGTACCTGCGCGGTGGGGGAGGGCGGCCCGTCCGCGGTCCCGTTCTTGGCGTAGGAGGAGGACATGGTTCAGAGCCGCGGCATGGCCCGCTGGGGCGCCGGGGGCGCG